AATAATCATTAAACAGGATGGCTTTAAAAAGGACTAAATTTTGCTCACTTCAGATAGTAATATGTGCCGAAGATACTCTTTCATTTCATTCACATAAAAGCTACAGAGATAACAAGTGGCTTCTGGAGATCTTCATAAGAGAAACTAGTGGAAAAGAGCCTCAAGAAATCTAAAGACTGCTTCTATGAAAACACAAAACTTTATTATGAAGCAGTTAGAATTGCTACATACACTGCATGTGTGACACATATCCAGAAAAGCAAGGGAATTAAAAGTTAAGCCACCTAGCAGTACATTCTCGCTACTCCTCCACCCACAAGCACACAACATACCATAACCATAACTACAGTACACCATAGTCTACACCTTTAACTCTACCTCCCTTTTCTGAACACAGCCCTTATCCGATATTTTTTTTCTCTGCACTAGCAGTCGTAAATGTTTGATGTAGTAATTGGTTGTGATAGGAGACAGTTTTTGGCAAAGGGCTGTTTGTAAAAGGAAGGTTAAAAGGGTCCAATGGAAGGCTGGCCCCACTAGGGGGCAGACAAACTTGTGGGGTGTAGTGTGTTTGTGCTAAAATTGTAGTACAAAAACTACTTCACAAAGAAGTTTGTGTGTTAGCTTCCTAGTTTATGTATATACCTAAATAAGCGAGTAAGTCAGAAGACTCAGAGACTTTAAGGTCAGAAGGGACCATTATGATCTTCTAGTCTGACATCCTGCACAATGCAGGCCACAGAATTTCACCCACCCACTCCTGTAACAAACCCCTGACCTACGTCTGAGCTATTGAAGTCCTCAACTTGTGATTTAAAGACTTCAAGGTGCAGAGAATCCTCCAGCAAGTGACCCGTGCCCCACGCTGCAGAGGAAGGTGAAAACCCCCCAGGGCCTCTGCCAATCTGCCAATCATATTTACCGCTAATAGTCAAAGATCAATTAATTGCCAGAATTAGGCCATCCATCATACCATCCCTTCCATAAACTTATCAAGCTTAGTCTTGAAGTCAGATAGGTCTTTTGCCTCCACTGCTCCCCTTGGAAGGCTATTCCAGAACTTCACTCCTCTGATGGTTAGAAACCTTCATCTAATTTCAAGTCTAAACTTCCTGATGGCCAGTTTATATCCATTTGTTCTTGTGTCCACATTGGTACTGAGCTTAAATAATTCCTCTCTTTCCCTGGTATTTATCCCTCTGATATATTTATAGAGAGCAATCATATCTCCCCTCAGCCTTCTTTTGGTTAGGCCAAACAAGCCAAGTTCTTTGAGTCTCCTTGAGGGTAGATGTGCAGCTGATAACTGAGAATATTTTCTCTGTCAGCAGCTGCACGTGAACTCTTCTTTACTGTAGCATACATTCTGACAGAAAAGCGTCAGATGGAAAAAGTTTTTTGTGCAACCAATAAGGCTTGCATGCACAGCATCTACACTTTCAGTTATTCTCCTAAAAATTATCCCAAATCCAATTTAAAAAACAAACAAGCAAAAACCCCTTTGCACCAGATGTCCTCAGAGTCTACCTCTCTGCCAAACTTTGGGTGGATATACCATCATTTTAAAGATATATTATTGAACATTGAAAATTTAGGTCTGCCAAGGAAAAATTTGACAGAGCACAAATTGTAAGACTTCATATTACAAATTTATAAAGAGAAACCAAACAAATCTACACAGAAAATTCAAAGGGCATAAAGGTCAACTTCTTGTGGAGAAAAATAGAAATCTATGCCCCATTTTAAGCTCATTTTAATACCCAATATAGTTGCTACTAGGCACCTCCATATTTCTCACTTGCATCAGTTTTGCACTGAGTTCAGGGGAATTACTTCAAATTTACATCAGGGTGTCAGGAGAATTACATCCTGGGAGTTTCAGTTAAGCTTCATTAAACAACCAAAAGTTTGGCAATATCTGAATTTAATTGGTCTGGACATCAAAAAAGTCTGTTACTGTGAGATTGCCTATTCTTTATATTGAGTCAATCATACAGGAAATAATCTTTTTGTGGTATTTCAGTAGTGCTGCTTCTGGCCCAGACTGAAATTAAGTAAGGTGAAGGCACATAGAAATGCAACCCAAAAAAGTTAGCAAAATTTTTTCAAACCTCAAAGTTTGGGTTAAAATTTTGGCTAGAGTTTTAGACAGGAGCTTATTTTAGCCAAAGGCGTCAAGCTTTCCCTTATTTATACGGCAATAAATGGAGATTTTTAATGGAAGAAGTTGGCATGAATAGATTTGGTTACTAATATGTAAAAGGAATGATCCAGTACTAATGGATTCTTTTCTTATGATCTGACTGTAAAAATCAAAACCTGAAAAATGACAGTTACTGACCTGTAACTGAGGTTCTTTGAGATGGACTCTGCATATTCCCACTCATGGGATGTTCCAACCAGTGCAGCCTGAATGGTAAAATTCTACTAGCAGTAGTCGAAGGAACGTCCACACACCTTCCTTGCCATCACCTCCCCGCCCCCAGTGAAGTCCGGATGTTCTAGCACAAGGGTTTAAAAGAAGCATGATGCTCCACTGCCTTGATTCCTTCCCCCATGATCCAGGCCCTTTGGTAGGTAGGACTCCATGGTAGTGGGGAAAGATGGATAGGGAGTGGGAATATGCAGAATCCAGCTCAAAGAACCTCAGTTACAGGTAAGAAACAAATTTCTTCCTTCAGGTGTCCTCTACATATCCCCACACACGGGGTAGATTAATAGGCAATCTCTGACCCAGGATGGTGGGACCTGGAGTTCTAGTTAAACAAGGAATGCAGGACTGCCCTGCCAATCTATGCATCTGATCTAGATGCCAAGTCTAAAGAATAATGTTTAGTAAAAGTGTGAACAGACCTCCAGGTTGCTGCTCTACATATCTCTCTAAGAGGAATTTGACTAGAGAAAGCCATGCAAGCTGACTTGGATCTAGCTGCATAAGTTCTGATGCCTCAAGGAATGGATTTATGAGCTTCATAAATATCAAATAGCCTTGAAGACTGTCTAAATTGGTTAGTCTTGGTATGTCTAAATAAAAAGATAAATGTTCTCCTCAGAGCTAATGGTTATAATTTAGCTTCCCCATCGTGAGTATGGGGTTTGGAGAAAAAACAGTAAAATTACAGATTGATTTATGGGAAAATCAGAGACTACTTTTGGTAACAACTTGGGATGAGTGCAAAAAACCTCTTTATCCTTATGAAACATAGTCAATGATGGATCAGCCATTAATGGAGGCAATTCATTTTTGTGTGATGGAAGTGATTGCTACCAAAAACAATGTTTTTACAGATAGATGAAATAAAGAACTGCTCCCCAGTGCTGTTAAAAGGGAGGTCTTATTATTTGTGTTAGTACTACATTCAGATCACAGGAGGGCATAGGAATTCTTATTGGAGGATACAAATTAAGGCCCCTTAAAAACCTCTTAATTGTTCCATTAGTAAAAATTGATTTTCCTTCTGCAGGTACATGATATGCTGATATGGCTGAGAGATGAACCTTAACTGAAGATAATGAAAAAGATGTCTTCTTAAGATACAATAAATACTCTAATATATAATTAATTGGTGCCGTATAAGGATCCACATTATTGAAGGGAATCCACAAATAAAAAAACCACACACACAAAAAAACCACGGTTACTCACCTTCTCGTAACTGTTGTTTTTCGAGATGTGTTGTTCATGTCCATTCCAATCAGGTATGTGCACATGCACGATGGCTGAAAGATTTTTCCCTTAACAGCATCCGTCAGTTCGGCCTGGGCACCCTCTGGAGTCACGCCCTCATGGCGCCTAATATATAGCCCGGCCAACCCGCCACCTCTTCAGTTCCTTCTTGCCGGCTACTCCGACAGAGAAGTAGGAGGGTGGGTATTGGAATGGATATGAACAACACATTTCGAAGAACAGTTACAAGAAGGTGAATAACCGTTTTTTCTTCTTCGAGTGCTTGTTCATGTCAATTCCAATCAGGTGACTCCCAAGCAAATTTAGGAGGGGGGGTCAAAGCTGTCCACTGACTGGAGTACTGCTCTACCAAAGGTCGCATCATCTCTGCCTGACCTAGTAATTGCATAATGTGCGGTGAAAGTGTGTATCGATGACCATGTCGCTGCCCTGCAGATTTCCTGGGTGGGGACTTGAGCCAGGAAAGCTGTTGATGAAGCTTGCGCTCTTGTAGAGTGTGCCGTTATCAGGGGCGCTGGGATTCCTGCTAGATTGTAGCACTCGGTAATGCAGGCCACAATCCATGATGAAATGTGCTGTGTCGAAACAGGCTGGCCCTTCATCCTGTCCACTAATGTGACAAAGAGCTGTATCGACTTCCTGAACGGTTTCGTTCTCTCAATGTAAAAGGCCAGCGCTCTAAAGACGTCGAGAGTGTGGAGCCTATGCTCCCTGCTACTCGCATGAGGCTTGGGGTAGAAAACCGGGAGGAAAATGTCCTGGTTGATGTGGAACTGCGATACCACCTTTGAGAGGAAGGCCAAATGGGGCCTTAGCTGAACCTTGTCCTTAAAAAACACGGTGTAGGGCGGCTCGGACGTTAGAGCCCTGAGCTGCCCCTTCGGGCTGAAGTTTTCGCCACCAGGAGAGGTAGAGCAGGGAGCATGTTGCTAGAAGCTCAAAGGGATGCCCCATGAGCCTAGAGAGGACCAAATTAAGGTCCCAAGCAGGAACCGGTTGACAGCCATGCAGGTACAACCTGTTGAGGCCCTTCAGGAAGCGACTGACCAGGGGGTTAGGGAAAACCGAGTGGCCCTGTACCCCCAGATGGAAAGTCGAGATGAAAGCCAGGTGTACTCTTATAGAAGACAAGGAGAGACCTTCCTGCTTTAGGTGGAAAAGATAATCCAAAATCTGAGGCACTGAGGCTAGTGCCGGGGAAAAGTCACGCTGAGCTGACCAGATTGAAAATCTCTTCCACTTGGCCAGGTATGTGGCCCTAATGCAGGGTTTCCTACTGCCCAAGAGAACCTGTCTGACTTGTTCTAAACAGGAAAGCTCAAACAGATTCAACCATGGAGCCTCTAGGCTGTGAGGTGCAGCGACTGCAGGTCTGGTTGCTGGAGCCGCCTGTGATCCTGCATGAGAAGGTCCGGGAAGAGTGGCAGGGTAATCGGGGCTCCCACTGACATGTCTAGGAGAGACGTGTACCAATGCTGGCGGGGCCAGGCTGGTGCTATGAGAATGACCCGAGCCCAGTCTCTGCGGATCTTGAGCAGGACCTTGTGGATGAGCGGTATGGGTGGGAAGGCGTATAGAAGCGGTCCCCCCAATGGAGGAGGAACGCGTCCGCTGTGGAGCCCAGACTGTGATTCTGGAAGGAGCAGAACTGCTGACACTTCCTGTTGCGTCGCGTGGCAAAGAGGTCGATCAGGGAACAGCCCCACCTCTGGAAGAACGAAGATGCGACGTCCTGGTGAAAGGACCACTCGTGGCTGTGAAAAGACCTGCTGAGGCGGTCCGCCAGCTCGTTCTGGACCCTGGAAGGTACGACGCCTGTAGATCGACTGAGTGCTATATACAAAAGTCCCATAACCTGAGGGCTTCCTGGCTCAGGGGAGAGGAGCGTGCACCCCCTTTTTGTTGATACAGAACATCGCAGTCATATTGTCTGTCATGACCGATACACATTGACCTGTTAGATACAGGCGGAATGACTGACACGCTAGGCGTACCGCCCTGACTCCCTGACATTGATATGAAGACGGAGACCTGTCTGTGACCAGAGGCCCTGAGTCCTGTGGTCACCCAGATGAGCTCCCTACCCCAAATCTGACGCGTCCATCACTAACGCTAGGGACGGTTGTGGGGCAACGAAGGAGACTCCTGAGCACACCTGCTGAGCGTCCGTCCACCACAGGAGCAAGTCGAGGATAGGGCGAGGCAGGGTCACGATCCTGTCCAAGCTGTCCCTGGAAGGTCTGTATACTGACACAAGCCACAACTGAAGTGGCCGAAGCCTGAGTCTGGCGTGCCAAACCAAGTACGTACAGGCTGCCATGTGGCCAAGAAGTCTGACACAATTTCTCGCGGTGGTGGTGGGGAACTGCCTGAGTCCCTGGATCATGGCATCGACAGCCTGGAATCTCACCTGCGGAAGAAATGCTCTGGTTTGGGTTGAGTCCAGAACCGCCCCTATGAACTCTATCCTCTGGACTGGGGACAGAGTCGATTTCGCCTCGTTCAGTAGTAGGCCCAGATTCTCGAAGGTGGCTCTGATGAATGCCACCTGAGCTTCCACCTGAGCCTTGGATCGGCCTTTGATCAGCCAGTCATCGAGGTATGGGAACACCTGTACCTGATGTCTCCGCAGAAAGGTGGCGATGACTGCCATGCACTTGGGGAATACTCGAAGTGCTGCTGACTGGCCGAAAGGGAGGACAGTAAATTGGTAATGGGAACCACTGACCACAAACCTGAGGAATTTTCTGTGGTTGTGCACGATTGCTATGTGAAAATATGCGTCCTTCAAGTTGAGGGCAGCATACCATTCTGCTGGATCCAGTGAAAGGATAATGGAGGTCAGGGAGACCATGCGGAACCGGAGTTTCCTCATGAACTTATTGAGGTCGCGCAGGTTCCAGGATAGGCCTGAGGCCGCCTTTGGCCTTGGTATTAGGAAATGATGGGAATAAAAACCCTTGCCTCTGTGCTCCAGTGGAACCTCCTCCACCGTCCCCAGTGCTAGGAGTGATTGCACCTCCTGAATGAGAAGTTGCTCGTGAGAAGGGTCCCTGAAGAGGGATGGGGAAGGGGGGTGGAAGGGCACAGAATTGGATGTAGTATCCCCTCTCTACCATGCAAAGCACCCAGCGGTCTGAAGTTATACGGAACCATGCATGGTAGAAAGAGGATAGTCGGGAGGAAAAGGTAAGGCAGGGTAGATCTAGTCTCTGGTCTGGTGCGCTATCCTTGACCACACCTTCAAAAGGCTGGTTTAGGGCCAGAGGGCAGTTTGGGCTGGCCTAATTAGCGGAGGTATGTTGCCTTCTCCTACTGCTCCGGTTCCTCCTCCTAGAATTGTCCTGGCGGTTCTGCTGCTGGAACATTTGAGGAGGTTGTGGGCGGAAGTGTCTCCTGTGTGGCGGGGGTATGCAAGCCCAAGGATCTGAGGGTGGCTCGGGAATCTTTTAGGATGTGAAGCCGTTTGTCCATTTTCTCTGAAAACGGAGTCTCACCCTCAAACGGGAGGTCCTGAATTGTTTGTTGGACTTCGTAGGGTAACCCTGAGACTTGCAACCAGGCCCCCCACCGCATAGCCACCCCTGTCGCCATGACTCTTGTTGCAGCATCTGCAGCATCTAAAGCTGCCTGCAATGAAGAGTGGGAGACCAATTTCCCTTCTTCCACCAAGGCGGTGAACTCTGACCGAGAGTCCGAAGGGACGAGCTCCGTGAACTTCGCCATTGAAGCACAGGTGTTATAAGAGTACCTATTCACAATGGCCTGCTGGTTAGCGATACGGAGTTGCAAATAGGGTGACCAGACGTCCCGATTTTATCAGGACTGTCCCGATATTTGCTTGTTTGTCCCGCGTCCCGACCAATGTTAGGTCGGGACACTGGACAAACAAGCAAAGGCTCCGGAGTCCGGAAGGGCTGCCCCCCCCCCCCCCGCCCCGACTCCGCCCCCACCTTCCCCAATTGGATCCCTCCCCAAATCCCCGCCCCCTCACTGCCCCATTGGCTCCCTCCCCAAATCCCTGCCTCTTCCCCAAGCACCCCATTCCTTCTCCCTCCGCAAGCGCTGGAGGGAGGCCCGGAAGACGCAGGGGAGCGCGGGGCCGGGGTGAGTGTGAGTCCGGCCTCGCCCCAAGCGCAGGCAGGACTCGCGCGGTACCTGGAAGGAGAGTAGGGGGGCGGCCCGCGGGGCCAGGCGGCGGCTGTTCTCCCCACCTGGGCAGCGGGAGTCGGGAGCAGCCGCTGCTGCAGCTCCCACTGCCGCTGCGGGAGGAAGCGGCCAAGCACGTGGCGCTCGATGGCTGCGGCTCTGGCGCCCGGACCCGAACCCCCCGAGCCCAGGCCTGCTGCAGGGACCCAGCGCACACGCTGTGCCCAGCCCCTGGCCAGCCGTGTCTGGGCTGGCTGCCCAGCTGGTGCAATTCCACGGGCGGCGGCATCGGCAGCCCCGTTCATTCCTCAGTGGGACCCGAGCAGGATGGGAGGGCTGGGGCCTGCTGCCCCCACTCCGGGGCCGCCCGCGGGATTGCACCAGCTGGGCAGGCAGCCCAGACGCGACTGGCCAGGGGCTGGGCACGCGCAGCGTGCGCGCTGGGTCGCCGCAGCAGGCCCAGACTCGGGGGGTTCGCGGGCGCCAGAGCCGCAGCCGCCAAGCGCCACGTGCTTGGCCGCTTCCTCCCCCCATGGCAGTGGGAGCTGCAGCAGTGGCTGCTCCCGAGTCCCGCTGCCCAGGTGGGGAGAACAGCCGCCGCCTGGCCCCGTGGGCCGCCCCCCTACTCTCCCTCCAGGTACCACCCGAGTCCTGCCTGCGCTCGGGGCCAGGCCGGACTCACTCACCCCGGCCCCACGCTCCCCCTGCGTCTCCCAGGCCTCCCTCCAGCGCTTGCGGAGGGAGGAGGAATGGGGTGGGGGTTGTTTTGGTTTTTTTGCTCTGCCGCCGTTTTTTCCCCCCTCTGCCCCTCCCCCCCCGTGTCCCGATATTTGACCTGGGTGATCTGGTCACCCTACTTGCAAACCACCAGTGGAGTAGACCTTTCTACCCACGAGGTCCAGGCATTTAGCATCCCTATTCTTTGGGGAAGGACCTTGGAAACCTTGTCTCTCCCGCTGGTTAGCCGCATCGACCACTAGCGAGTCCGGAGGCGGATGAGAGTAGAGATGCTCAAAGCCTCTGGAGGGGATGAAATACTGTCGCTTATTACGTTTGGCAGTGGGTGGCAGGGATGCCGGCATCTGCCACAGGGCCTTAGTGGTGTCCACCACCATCTTTATGAGGGGTAACGCTATCTGTGAAGGCCCTGAGGGTGCTAGGATGTCCACCATGGGATCCATGTCCTTTACCACCTCCTTGGCCTTGATGCCCAGACCTTGGGCAGCCCTGCGGAGCAACTGCTGTAGAACTCTGTCCTCTAACGCTGGAGCTATGGACGTCCCTGCCAATGCTTCGTCCGGCAACGACGAGGAGGAAGTGTGTGCTGGTAGTGGAAGTTCCCTACCATGTGCCCCGGAGGGGTCACGTGACTCCCGGGGCAGCATTGGAGGAGGTGGTGCCGATGTAGCAAATGTCGGCGTCAGCATCAGTCTGACCGGAGGGAGCTGCGTTGGCACACTCACAGGAACCGCCGGGGTCAGGGGGCCCGGTGCCGACATTGGCACCAGGGCCGTAGGTGCCTGCATCGAGGTCAACGTCAACCACGGTGCAGGCATGGGAGACGGGTGCCGAAGTCGGAGCCGAGCACAGTGCCGGAGTCAATGATGGGGCCGGAGGCAAATGCGTCGGGACCATAAGTGCCGGGGCGGATGCACGGCGGAAGGTGGCACGAAAGTGGCGGAGGCCACTGAAGATGTCACTCAGCGTGGGCCCTGAGTTCCTCCCTGGCCCTGGTGATAAGCCCAGGGAGTCCTGAACGGCCACTGAGGCGGCCACGCCTGATGCTCCCTTCTGTCTCTGCCTGACCTCGCTCTACAGCTTCTGCTCCTACTCAAGCGATAGGAGTCGGGCTCTGACTCCGAGGTCTCAGACACTGAAGACCACGGAGGAGCCGATTCTTGGTGCCTCAAACGTCAAGAGCTCGGGGAGCGGGAAGGCTGTCTGTCGGAGCGTGTAGGCGCCGATGGACAAGGCGAAGGGGAGCGCCTCGACATCATAGCCGGCTTTCCCTTAGAGTGCACTGGAGGACGGGGCTCCGTCGGCGCTGAGGGTTCCTCCCTGGCAGGCGAGGGCGGTGCCATGAGGTGGAGGAGATCTCTGGCAGCCTGGTATGCTTCCGGCGTGGACGGGAGTTGGAGCTGCTGCGTAGGCTCCGGTGATCAAGCTGGGGCCGGACTTGACTGCCTCACCTGGATAGGAGTCGACATGGCCCTGGAAGGAGATGCTGAGGAGTGGCCCACCTGGGGTCGCACGTCTCGAGGCTTAGCCAGAGGAGAACA